GATGTGATCATTTGTCCTTCTGTTGGCCCTGCACGAGGAGTTCTGCGTGTGTATCGGTGAGTGCGTGCAAAAGGTCCCACCCCGGCACTTCTCCCTCCACTCCCTTCTTATTTCCATCAGTCCAGGATCTGCATTAATTCTACAATTTTAATCGACCCAGTTTCCATCTGTTACTCTTCTGCCCGGGCGATCGAGACTGCGCCGCAAAAAAAACGCTTTAATGAGGACCGAGATCCAATTTTTAGTTTCCCTGTTTGATTTACCAGCAGACTTGAACATGATATTTCTGCGTAGATATTGGTTGAAACCTCCTTTATGGAGCCAGGGTTGAAGGGCTATTGAGGTCGTGTGGCAGTGCCTTGGGCACAACCTAAAGAACACCCTTTTGTTTCCGCTGATCGCGCCATATCAATGTTTTGGGTAAAAAGTAGACGGTACGCATGTATTCGTTTAGTTAAATGACAGACACCTATCGGTGGTGGAAAAGGGTTGAAAGGGTGTAGGATGTACACGATGACAAAAAGTACAGTCAACAGTGGTATTGTAATTCATTGTGCTGGGCTTCTGTTTAAGCACAGGGTGATAGTGCAGCGGCAGCTTAGGCCTAGACTCCCTTTTTGTCACCATATATAATTTCACAATAGTTCATTTTCAAATAACAATGCGAGCGTCGCCGCCGAATAGGTGTAGCTTCTGTGTAGTCTAATTGCTGTTGGTTTTGCCCCAACCAACAATTCCACCAGATAAATACTCCCCCTCCCCCACCTAAATACTCGTGCTGTGAATAGTAAAGATGACGCAAGTATTCACATGACAGGAAATGCACTCATGTTTTTTTTTTCGGCAAGTTGTTATTGTCCAAACCACGGCAACATGACGTCAGGTGCGTTTGATATAGACGGGCATGAAGAACGGAGTTGTTTTGTGTGTGCTGCTATAGCACAATGGCAGTTGTGGACAGTTAAGAAAAGGGGTAGAAGACAGGAGTAGTTCACCACAGCGCACATCCGGAACAATTTTCGGAATAGCAGTTTTGAGGTGGTCTGCGCTCATAATCTCTACGTCAGTACCGCAAGTTTGGTGTGGAACGTCGTTCCCCGCGAGGAGCGCCCCGGAACAGGCTGTTAGGGTAGCTATCGTAGCCGCTGGACTCGGTCGCATTAAGGGGTGACGAGAGCCTATGTCTTAAGTCACTTTTTTGCGGTAAGACTAGGAGACGGTTGGCTTCAGCAGAACTGGAGTATGAACTGGTAGAGTCGGTCCAGTAGGTTGGTTGAATCTTTGTTGGCATCGCGGGGGGTTGGAGAACGTACCTCAATGACAATGGCGTCGAATCTATGTTCAGCGGCGTAACAGTCGAGGACTGACTTGGGAACAGAACGGATGCCCTACAGGGCCGAAAGAAAGTGATCCGTCCTCTGTGACACGTAGGGAGTTGATGCCGCAGACAATGGTACCGTTGTCATTAGTCGCGCATCTTAATCACTGACACCGCGTTGTTCTGCAGCCGCCAGAATGAGTGAAATCGTTTGAAAAAGCTGAAGGTAGGAGATAGAGGGTGGGAAGAATGCGTCAGCCATCCGATTTCGGGCTCTGACGACTTAATCAATGTCAGAAATGAGTAGTTGGGGGTGTCCCCAGGATTTTAGTTTTTCAGATTGGAAATTGAACGCGAAGGAAGGGAAGATGTGGTCTGTAGATATGGTGGAACTTCGTGAGCGGCATATGTCAGTCCAGTTCCGAAAGAACTAGTTATAAAATTTAATCATGTCCAGCTGTCGTTATCGTTGATGTTTTAACTGCGGTTGGGAACTCGTGGATGACTGCGTCCTTCAAGGGGAAGGGTGGAAGCCGGTTCAGTCGACCAAATACATGATAATCGTTAGTGAGCGAAGACGGAACAGTCACCCGGACGGGCTGGGAACGAAGCCAGATTATTAGGGGGTTTGGGCAAATTTTTTAAATGTTAGTTGACCTCATTGTGAGAAAACTCGCGGCGTTGGCGGGAGTTGAACCCGCACAGCGGGGAAGGCCTTTACGCAGCCGACGCTCTACCAATTTGAGCTACGACACCACGCCTTGCGCCATATTAACAAACGTTGCCAGCTGATACATGTATTCGTTGGCAGTAGGGCTAGCTATAAAGCTATATAGCTATAGGTACAGACGAAGGATAGGTCATCGAG